ATACAAAGACGCAGTTCACCTTCCTTTTTGGGCACGAATAAGATAGGGGCACCATAAGGAGATGAGCTAGGGTGAATTCATCCCTTGTCAGTAAGTTCTTGCAACTGTTTTCAAAGTTCCTCAAGTTCCCTGGGAGACATTCGGTAAATGAGACCTTTGGGAATCTTGCTTTCGGGAATGATCTCGATTGTGTGCTTGATAGCACACTCAGTAATTCCCGTTGGCTTTGTCTGCAAGTCCTTGTACTCATCGGGAAGTTTTTCGATAGAAGGTGGATAGGATGAGGAACACTCACCTACTATAGTTTCACAAGCACCATCATCACCTCCTGATCCAAGTTCTTCTTTACTACCATTGAGCGAAAAGTTGGGTAACTCATACAACCGAAAGACAGAGTAGAGTTAGGGCCAGACCTACAGCGCGTAGTTCGAACTTTTCGTCCTTGAGTTTGAAAATTTTATCTTTGAACCTTACCTCTGGTCGGCTTCCTTGTGCCAATCCATTCCCAAAATTATATCAAATGGCAGGTTCTTTTCTATTAGGAATGATATCTCGTGTAAGATCTTATTTCCTTCCTTAGTCCTGGAATGCCATTTAACACGATCAACATATTGAGAGACAATAATCGTGCTCTTGTCAGCCAGTACAGATGTGATAGGTCGAGGTAAATCCTTTACCTTCATTCCCAGATGCAATTTACGAATTGCCTTCTCTAAGATGTAAGACCGCGTCGATCCTGGATCTAACAGTGCAGCAACTCGCGTGTGCGCAATCTCAATTTTCGCGATTATTAACTCACCCATAGACTTAGCTTTCTTCGCCCACGAACTCCGAAGTGCTACGAGTTCATTGTCGAGCTCGTAAAGGGAATCGTCTAGTGAGACAGAACAAAGTACAGTGTCAGGGTGTTCTGGACGACAGGCGGAAAGCACCCATTCCTTAGCCACTTCTCAGCGACACGACGTAGAGAAAGCGACTTGACTTTTGGGCTCAACGGGTGCGGTTCCACAATAAGTTTGTATTTTCGCGATCCACAACAACATATCCTCGTCTTTTTTGTTGTTGTACGTGAACAACAACTTCATCTTGACTTTTTCCTCCTCCTTCAGCTTTTCCGCTTCCTTTACCGGTTCTTCTTTCTTAGCGTTTTTTTTTTTTTTTCCTCGGCTGGTCTCTTGGGTTCTTTCTTAGAACTTTTAGACTTCTCCGGCGTAACTTCTTCTGGGGTTCCTTCTTGACTACCTCAGATTCTCGTCTTTTTTGTTGTTGTACGCGAACAACAACTTCATCTTGACTTTTTCCTCCTCCTTCGGTTTTTTCGCTTCCTTTACCGATTCTTCTTTCTTAGCAGGTTCTTTTTTTTTTTCTCGGCTGGTCTCTCGGGTTCTTTCTTATAACTTTCAGACTTCTCCAGCGTAACTCTCTTCATTGCATCCTTCATTAACTTCTCCTGGGGTTCCTTCTTGACTACCTCCCCCCGGTCTCCTCCTCAGTTCCTACCTTGTCTTTTCTTTTAGGAGTCTGGTTACTATCTCTAACGAGGCAGTGTTGCGATCAATCTTCTTCTCAAGAGACACAAGGTAGATCACGATAGACAAAAGTATGGATGCAAGCTCGCTGCCTGCTTCTTCATAGTGAAATCTTTGCCCTAATTCATCCATAATTCGTTCTTCTTCTTCTTGTGCTTTTCGTAGTCTTCAGAATTCCTCAATCTTTCTTCTTTCTTCGCTCAGTGTGTTTTCTAGTTGCCTAACATTCTCCTCCTTTATCTCAACAGACAATTGCGGTTCTACCTTATTTTCTTTTCCTTCTTCTTTTCTTTTCTTCCTTTCCTGTTCCATCTTGTCCAGATTCTCGGCAACATACCGGTCAAGCACTATTCGTCCTTGCTTTTTATGAGGTCCTCGACCTTCTAACCGGTCTCTATCACTTGAACAGCTGTTTCCACGACTTTCAGTTCATCTTCTGCAGCACGCAGATTGAACTGGCCATGAATCAGCTGTTCAATCTCTGAACCGGCGCCGTGTACCTCACCGAGAAACTGGTGGAGAAAACCAATCAAGGTCTGCTTTCTTGTTTCAATTTGACCACGGGTCTTTAGTTCCCCCCCTTCTTCATCAGCATAGACTATGAGAGGGATGGGGAAGAAAAAAAGAGGAACGAACCGCGCCAGGATGGAGGCACTCATACATTTCTAGAGAGAATTTATTTTTCCAAGCGTGTAGATGCCGCACAATCAATAAAATCAGAAGACAAGAATAAATTCCACGGCACACGCAACTCTTACAGCAAAAAGTAAGCAAGGCAAATACAAAGAAGCAGGTTATCAATTATTTTCCAAATCCTAACTTTGTTGTCTGTTCTTTGTGATGACGTCCTACAACTACAGGTACCGCAGCCACGGCCAGTGTGATCAAGACAACAACACACTTGTAAGTATACACAACAACCACAGACAATCAACAGGTGAGTACAGCCAACACAACCACACAATCATGGCTAGCTTCTTCTGTATCATCTGCAGAAGCAATGCAACCATCAGCAACAAGTGCACAGTCTTTGCATGCCACGTGACACGCCTGGCATGCCGACGCAGCAGTTCCGCCACGTCAGTGTCAAGGACCAAAAGGTCTTCAAGGAGGGATGCCACGTCAGCAGTGCAGGTCTGCCACACACTCAGCACCGGCATGCCATGTCAGCGCCTCGACAGCAGGCAATAGCGACACAAGTACATGCCACGTCAGACCATGCCCAGCCACAATATCACATCAGCATTCCACATAAGAATTGCGCCACATCAGTGGTCCTGATCTCTTTCTTAACCAGTGCCACGTCAGCCTGTTGCCAACGAAGCTCTCGCTGGTATCTTGAAGTCTTTAGTGCAGCCACGTCATCATCTTCAAGGGACAGCTGCTCGCACGTGCAATACTACAATGTCTAGACTTGCGGTATTACCGCGTGCGTTAATAAACACGTTTTGTTTTGCACATACGGCACCTCCCACTTACCTGGGTGCCACGTCAGCCCCTGACAGCAGACAGCAGATTGCGATGAAGGAGTTTGCTCTGATACCAAATTGTAATGAACCCTGTCTAGCAGATACTCATCAGTCGTCAAACATCAGTAGTCACCGTATCTGCTGCATAGTCTCCAATTATTGTGAAATGATATCTGAAACAGTATCTCATTACCATTGGACGAAGAGAGTGGAGGGGGAATAGACAGAGGAGAAGAAGGAAGAGATGATCAATGATCACACAATAATAATCCCATCAAACCCCACTTCTTCTC